GTCATCTTCAGGTCATTTCCATTTTCTTTCATTTTCAATTCTTTTCATTTCAATTCAGTTTCATTTTCATCTCAACAGTCATCTTCAGGTCATTTCCATTTTCTTTCATTTTCATTTTCATTTTCATTTCAATTTCATTTCATGATTCAGTTTTCATTACTCAGTTTCATTGATCATGGTTCGAGTTTTCAATTCTCATTCTCATTGGCATCTTTCTTTCTCATGTCAGGTGTTCATCTTTAGCATTTTCATTTTCAGTTTCATTTTTTTTTCAAGGTTGCGAGTGGTCTTCTTTTCATTTCAAATTCAGTCATTCTTCATGTCAAATTCATTTTCATGTTCATTCCAAAGTAATTTGGGCGAAGGACGGCGCGGCTGGCGGAGGATGGCTACGGATATTGGTGGGGCGGGAGTGACGTCACTTCCCCTAGGTGGGAGTCAACTAGAGAACAAACCCGCAGTGCTTTTGCGTTTATGATCGGGTAGATAAGCTGGTTTGTTCTGAGGTATAGGTCCATGAAAAGACACACATTGTGTACTTCATTATACGATCATATATAGTCACTATCAATTCGCCATTCTTTGCTGAATGTTGATGTATTTTCATCGGCATTCTTAAAGTCTAGTAGAGGGTTCGAGCTCTCGTAAGCACGAGGCATAGTACTACGTACGGATGGAGCAACTGCGGGCGCTACTCGGTACCTATAGCCCTTGTCCGCTCCGACGCCAGGAGCGTGTTGTGTGTGCGTTGCGCCTTTCTGCGTGTGGCGCGCGCCGCGTGCATATGCGTCGCCATGGGCGTGGTGTGCCGCGCGGCGGCGGGTGTGTGGTACGTGTGTGTGGGGGTTGTGTGTGTGTGTGTGGTGTGTGTGGGGTGTTGTGTGTGTGGTGTGTGTGTGTGTGTGTGTGTGCGTGTGCGTGTGCGTGTGGCTGCGCGCCGTGTGCCTATGCGGCGTTGTGTGCTGTTAGCAACACGGGACGCGATAACCACTCAAACGTGAGCTGCTAGACTGGTTCCACCGCAGCACACTCAGAAGCTCGCACTGGCCTAGCGGCACGACCGCACGCAGAGCGGAGTGGGGCCGCGAACCCGTCGTAAAGTCAGCTCAAGACGTTTCATGCACAGTACACTTGGACCCGTTTTAATAATAAATGATGGCTTCGAATAATAATAAATAAAACTTAGTCAGTAGGACTATTGCTCGGTCACGTAGGATAGACTACTGTACAAGTTGGAGTTTCTGTTATTAACCATCAATTTTATTATTGGAAACGGTCAAGTGCTGTGATGAAACCCGTCCTTGAGCTGACGTTAGACGGCTTCGCCGGCCCCCCTCGCTCTCGTCTCGGGTGCCGTCTAGCACTAGCGAGCTTCTGAGGAGTGTGTGCTGGGCGGGTGGGAACCAGTCTAGAACTCACGTTGTGATGGGTTATCGCGTCCTCGTGCTTGACTAACAGCAACACAGCCCGCATAGCACCGGGCGCACACACGCACCACGCACACGCACACACGACACACACACACATCCACACACAACACACACACACACACACACAACAACACATACACACACACACACACGCACGCGCGCCGCGCACGCACGCACGCACGCCATATGCACGCCGGCGCGCGGCACACACAAAGAGCGCCACGCGACACACACACGCTCTGCGACGCGACGCGAAGGCTGTGAACCAATTACGGCAGTTGTCGAGTGACGTACGTAGACGTACGTATGCGATTACGAGGCGGAACCCATTAATAGACTGGTAAGAGATGAAGATGAGAATAACAACATTTTACACCAAAGAATTGCAGCGTTAGTGATATTTATATGTTACTATTAATAGGAAAATGTGTGTTGGTCATGGTCATAATCAAACGCCACGTAATCTTACCGATCATAAACCAAAACAACTGGCGAGTTGGCTCTGTTGACTTCCCACTAAGGGACGACGTCACTCCCGCCCCACCAAGTATCCGTAGCCATCTCCGGCCACCGCGAGTTTCGCAATGAATTTTGGAATGAGAAATCGAACATGAATTTGAAATGAAAATGAAAAATGAATGAACAATGAAATAAATGAGAAATGAAACATGAAAAATGAAAATGAATGAATGAGCAACTGAAGAAAATGAAAATGGAAGATGAAATATGAAAATGAAACTGGAAATGAAGAAATGGAAATGAAAGCGAAAATGATTGAACTTTGAAATGAAAATGAAAATGAATTCTTGAAATGAAAATGTAATTGTGAACATGAAAATGAAAGCATGAAAATGAATCTGGAATGCAATATGAATTTGAAATGAAAATGAATTTGAACATAATAAAAATGAATTGGAATAAAAATATCCGTAGCCAATCTCGGCCACCATACTGTTGATCTGGGCAACCAGATTAATTCACCGTATAGCGAACTAAAACGAACGCTCGAACGACATTCATCATTTAGAACCCAAACATACAGACAAGCATACACAACACAAACACACACACACACACACACACACACACACACACACACACCACACACACGCACACCACACAACACACACGCCACACCGCACACCATACACATACACACACACGCCGACGCATGCATGCACGCCGCACGCACCGCACGCACGCACGCAGACGGCAGGCAGGCAGGGCAGGCACGGCAGGCGACATGCGAGGACAGGACAGGCAGAGCAAGCAGCCATATGAAAAGAAAGAAAAATAAGACAAATGGATACGAAAGTAGTACGCGATAAGGAAGAACGAGAGAGCACGAATCCGGCTCATTGTTTAAGAATGTAAGTATCAGGTCTATCACCTGGCGAATATGTCCGGCAAGTCAAGGAGCTATACAAATCTGCGTTTGACGTGATAATCAGATTTACGAGTAAAACGTTGTCCGCAGCGACGTTTTTTTTGTAATCGGAACCATGAACACTCCAAATCGTCTGACTGGCTGCCTGCTGGTTGGCTGCTCGCTGCTACTGCTGCGACGTGGACTCACGACTACTACTACTACTATTAGTACTACCTACTTTTACGATACTGGGCCTACTACTACTAACATATATAGTATATATATATTATAGTAGATTACAATGGTTGTATCGAACTCGGTGTTCTGTGACCAGTAACATTAGTATAGATATAGGCAAGCACTAAGGCGGAGCTCCAA